TCTCTCTCTCTCTCTCTCTCTCTCTCTCTCTCTCTCTCTCTTTAATTCTAAGTATTTATTACTTATTGCCCAGAAAATTCAAAAATTACAAAACTGCTGCGAGAGTGGCACTTGGCAACCTAAATAAGTATGACCACATTACCCAACACATAAATAATACAAGGTTTTTTATGCAAAGTGGCTATTAACCCTTCAAAACCGTAGGCAACACAACCCGTGTCCAAGCAAGATAGGTTATCTCTGTACGTCAAAAGATCACGAAACAGACATAGGGGCGCAACAGACACTAACACGTAGACCCATAATCTAGAACCAACTATATCTTATATCATAAACATTCAGAACTTGAATATATACAAAAAGCAATTAAAAGGTCTCTTAAAACATCAGTGACATAAGGTTTTCAAAATATAAGAATAAGTAAGGCTTGTAGTACCATTAATTGTGTTTTTCTTATATCGATATGTATTATAGAAGTCATTTTTATGTAAACAGAATGGCCACTGTAACAAATGAATAAAGTATTTTTCTGCTCTCTCTCTCTCTCTCTCTCTCTCTCTCTCTCTCTCTCTCTCTCTCTCTCTCTCTCTCTCTCTCTCTCTCTCTCTCTCTCTCTCTCTCTCTCTCTCTCTCTCTCTCTCTCTCTCTCTCTCTCTCTCTCTCTCTCTCTCTCTCTCTCTCTCTCTCTCTCTCTCTCTCTCTCTCTCTCTCTCTCTCTCTCTCTCTCTCTCTCTCTCTCTCTGTTATGATACATGTTGGTGTCAAGTTCACAAAAGATACAGTTACTTCTTGCTTACCTGCGCCCTGTGACTGGTCCCTGTGTATTCGTTACTGTGTGTACTCGCGTGTTCGTGTGTATCTGTATTTGTCTTTGTTTGTTTTCGTGTATCTTATGCGCCTATATATGTGTTTGTTTGTCATCTACATAATACACAGGTTATGAATAATCGATATATTCTCATTCGGTTTAATACGCATATACTGTGTATTCGCATATACGTGTACGCGCATGTGCAGACAAGTATATATAACGTATGTGGGAAAGATACACACACACACACACACACACACACACGCGCGCGCGCGCGAACATGAACATGATATTTTCTTTTTCCTTTTCTTTGTGTGTCTGCATCAGCATGTAATTGATAGCACAACATGTTTGTTTTTAATCTGAACACATATACCAAGTAGTGCTGATAACGACAAATCAATGATAAGAATTTCTGAAACGCATAAATTTATCAAAAATTGACACATCATATACTAACTGGCAAAACTCGCAATGTAGGCCTACAAGCAAGCACATGTAAACCTATACAGTATGCGTGTGTGTGTGTGTGTGTGTGTGTGTGTGTGTGTGTGTGTGTGTGTGTGTGTGTGTGTGTGTGTGTGTGTGTGTGTGTGTGTGTGTGTGTGTGTGTGTGCGTGTGTGTGTGTGCGTGTGTGTGTGCGTGTGTGTGTGTGTGTGTGTGTGTGCGTTTGTGTGTGTGTGTTTGAGTGTGTGTGTGTGTGTGTGTGTGTTTGAGTGTGTGCGTGTGTGTGCGTGTCCGTGTGTATGTGTGTAAACGAGCGAGTGAGTGAGTGAGCCAATGAGTGTAAGTGAGTCAGTGGGTGTGCGTATGCGTGTATGTGCATGTGTGTTGTTGGTAGCGAGCGTGTGCGTGCATGTGTATCCACGCTGATCAGGTCATTACTGAAAGTTTTCCTGAGCTCGCAGCTTAGTCAACCTGAACTTAATCGTGTTGGTGACAATGACCTTTCAAGTTACACTCTGCTTTTCCTTCTAGTTCTGGCAACCTTATGTGTGTACTGGTAATGTCATTAAGGGCGTTTAGCTGTATTCCTGGTACATGAATTATCACCTCTGTGCAAAATTTTTTTTTTTTTTTTTTTTTGCCTGTGATAACCTAAGTGGCTGAGACGACAAAGAATAACAATTAACTAAAAATGTTTACTTTCTACACAAATCGGGCCGATAATACTAACCTTACGAAAAAAAAGTAATTTACCACGTCTAAAATATATTGAAGCTTTCTGACACATTACAGAAATCGTATTAAAGACGTGATTTTTTACACTGTTTTGCCCAATGTAATACATACTGTTGGTATAGGAAAAAAAATATTCTTTCGGCTCTTAGTATAATTAAGGTCTATACTCATTAGTTTAACGTATTTGAATAATTAAGTTATTGTCAGTCTATAAAGACCAAATCACTTCTTACATATAACTCCTAGGATATAATTCCTAACGTATAATTCCTGATAAATAATTCCTAATGTATAATTCCTGATAAATAATTCCTAATATACAACTCCTTATATTTAACTCCTAATATATAACTATTGATATGTAATACTTAATATTTAACTCTTGATATATAATTCCTAACATATGATTCCTAATATTAAATTCCTGATATACGATTCCTAATACATAACTCCTAATATATAATTCCTGATATACAACTCCAGATATATAATTCCTAATATACAACTCCAGATATACAATTCCTAATACATAACTCCTCATATATAATTCCTAATATACAACTCCAGACACATGATTCGTATTCCCCAAACACACAATTTCAATTAATTCCTAAGAGCCTACGACGACAAAATGTCTTCAAGCATTTAGTGTCATGGTCCGCTGATTTTACCCTTCACTACAATCCTTCTCAGTCCCAGCAAGCCATCACATAACCAGTAGAAAGCTGTATTGTGGCGCAGCGAGCACCTCCCTCTCCCTCTCCCCCTTCCCCCTCCTCCCCCCTACCTTCCCCCTCCCTCCCCCCCTTTACCTTCCCCCCTCCTCCCCCCTTTACCTTCTACCCTAACTTCGAGGTCTCCACCCTTCACCTCTAGGTCAGGGGAGGGTAGGTTGTGGGTAGGAAGGGGGAGGGTGTTAGGTACGCCAGTAGGGTATTAGTTTGATTTTACCTAATATAAGGGGATTTGTTTTTTTACCACTGAACAGGGAAGTGATCATGTGTATAAGTTCTGGGTATTTATTTTAAACAGAAATGGAGGAAATTCTCGTTATTTCTCTATGGTGGAAACATTCTGACACAACTCCCGTCTCCCTAACAATAAATTTTTCGTCACGCACATACGCACACACACGCATACACATACACGGGAAAGTGGGAGGGGCTGCTGCCTCAACACTACCCCTTTTTGGCATACGGTTACTTCCTCCAAGCCAAAGTTTATTTGACTGTAAAAACCTCAACCAGATTTAAAAATCCCCGAGAAAATTTCTCCAATAACCTGAAAGACTGAAATGAGACCTGAATAAGTGTTATCTAGAGCTAAGGAAATGACAGTGCAATAAGCGTCATCCAACATCCCGAGCATCATCCTCTTTATCAGGAAACATGAACTGGCAACCGCCGTTAGGTAATAAAGGATTATCTAAATAAAGAAAATTAAAGTGTCATGCCTAGCTCCATGTATAAAATAATTGATCTAAAATCGCGTGGGAAAATACCGAGGCTATATTTATCATATTTTTTTCGTCTTCACCTCACGAGGCCTGCACGACTATTCCGTAAACAAGGATGACACAATAAGAACATTGGCAACCGCGTCTGCGAGTGTTGCTTGCACCAAACGATATTTTCACATTATTATTATTCCAACAACACATCCTTTTATGAAGAATTCTTGAATAACTACACATTCTACAGGTATCCTCCTGTATCGAGACGAGCAGAAATACCGAAAACGTCCTCCGATAGTTGAAAAAAGGAGCTAGCTTTGTTTGACATTTGCCAGGATGAGCTGCGCACCGACTGAGGGAGATTTCGGAACCCTCACCCCAACGCGCACTTGAGGCCGAGCTTTTCCCCGAGAAACACAATCGAGACAGAACTTCGAGGATTTAAATTTAAAAAAGAAAGAGAAACATTTACAAACGTTGTTCAAGTACTGAGGTAAGTTCTCGTTTTCTTTATAACCGTGTTCGAAGATGTGTTATGGGTTGACAGTGTTGGTTTAGGGGAAACTTTTTAAGCGTCGTTTTATCTCAAGTTGTAGCCTAATCCTGTGAAGCAACACTCCTTGGATTAATGGTTCTTTCTTGAGGGAGGAAACGTCATTCTCAACTACGTCACACTTGTTCATACGCCGATCTGTGACGTCACAAGCAATACGTCATAGCATTTCGTTTCTAAAGCTTGTTAACCGACGCCAGGTTTGAGACAACGGAAGTATCTCTTGTTATAGATATATGTGGATTTCACGTTTTTATCGGTGTTCTTTGTGTTCGTGTGAACAATATCCTTTCTACTCTCACTCTCTCTGGCTACCTTTCTTTTACGCTCTATCTTTCTCTTGATTTCTGTCTGACGCAATCTTTCTCTCCCTCACACGCACTCTCTTTGTCTCGCTCTCTCTCTCTCTCTCTCTCTTCTCTCTGTCTCTCTCTCTCTCTCTCTCTTCTCTCTCTCTCTCTCTCTCTCTCTCTCTCTCTCTCTCTCTCTCTCTCTCTCTCTCTCTCTCTCTTTTCTTTCTCACCCTGACTCTCTCTTTCACGCACATACATACATACAACACACACCTTGACACACACACAAAAAAAAACGAGTTAACAAAATACACACGAACAAAATATATCAACACACACGCACACACACACACACACACACACACACACACACACACACACACACACAACACACACACACACACACACACACACACACACACACACACAAAATCAAACACACACACACACACACACACACACACACACACACACACACACACACACACACACACACACACACACACACACACACACACACACACACACACACACACGCACGCACACTCTCCTACTTTCTACACGCATCTCACTTCTACGATGCTTTGTACCCACAGGGCCACTGACACCAGGAAGAAGTCGGGTTTCGCGTAATACATTAATACCATAATACCAGCGAGAACCACCTTTCCCACAGCCAAGTATGGGCAGCTACGTCCTCTTTCACG